CCTCAGTGACCCGACTTTTCAACAGACGTTGTATAACGTACCTGGGGAATAGGCTCAAAGTTTCTTCTGGTATAAAATCTGTGACTTCAGGTTTTTTCACCTCGGTGATGATTCAGCCCAAGATAAGACATCCTGGAGGCTACTTGAATCATCGAGCTTGAAGCAGTGAAAGGTTTAGTGTCCTGCTAGATATTACAGGCTACATTACAAGCTGCTATTTGTCAATAGCGGCTGGTTCTCCTGCACTTGCCATACTCAGGATCTCAATGGGCCTCACATAGGCAAGAATGAGGTCTTTGTAATAAAGGCTGCAGGGGAAAAACAGCTGCCATTATACACTCACTAGCATCCTGCATCCAGCTGTGACTATTTGCATTAAGAGAGACTCAATCCTTGTTGAAAAGCAATTAACTACGTAAAACCAGACCTGACCACTCTGCTCTTCCAGCAGCTTTACTTCTTTTCAGTCCTCTGGCTCGTTGTTTTACCTCCACTACTCCCATTTCCGTTTCTCCTTGTTCTGGCTGCGCCTCAGCTTCACCAGCCCAAGCTCTCCAGGATCGCTGAGGGGAGGAAGGAGGTGGTCTTTGTCTCACTCCTCGGATCTGGCTGCCGCTGGGTGTTAACAGCCTAGAGGCCTGAGGATCACCAGAAGCTGGAGGAGAAAAAATAAAAACTCCTTACATCACTCCCGTGATTTGGCCGCGACCAAATTTCGGATATCGAAGCAACCTGTGTGGCAAGGGACTACTAAACATTGCCGAGGGTGGTGACCAAACCAGTAATAAGGAGAAATAGAAGAGATGGATTGAAAGCCTTGCAACCTTTTGTCTTACCAGCTCATAGCAGGGGAAAAAAAAAAAAACAGTTAGAATAACAGACAGACTGGTGGGGACTGAACCCATGGAAAATAGGAGATTTTGAAGGGAAAGTCGCCAATACTGAAAAACAGTTTGAAATAGCAAAGTGTAACAAGAAGCATCTGTTCTCGTCTTTTGCTCAGCCTGAGAAAAGATTAAGATGCAAGGCACACGGGCGTGCAGCAAGGAGGCCAAGAACGGGATCAAGGAGTTAAGGGAGAATACACGAGGATCAAGAGCTGAAGAGCAGAACAGAATGAAAAGCTGAAAACGTACCGGATACGGGCTGCAGCCAACGCAATTAAAACAGCTACTCTACTGAAGTGAATGCAGGAGGAAACCATCAACTTCAGCATCACAGCCCTCCTAGGGAAGGGCTTTAAACTCTCACAATACACTGTAATACCACTCCTCCCTCAGCCTTAGGATTCACAGGAGCATTGGGAGGGTGAGCATAAACATCAGAAAAAGGGGTAGGAACTAGAAAGGTTGCCTTTATCATTGTCACCTCTAGCATTATTGGGAGTGAGCTGCAATAACTGAATAATTTGGACTGGAACTGTCAGTATTGTACCTGGTTTAATTATAACCATTTGTTTGGAGAGCTAACACTTCAGTTATACTAACAATAAATTCTTGGTTTTGCATATAAGGTGTGTTTCTTCAGCCCACATAAACTGCACGGAGCGTTTGGTCTAGTACTCTACCGAAAAACTGACTGTTAAAACGTAGAAGTAGCAGTTGTACAAGGCAGAGGGAAAGAATGAATATATTGCAGCGTGGACGACTGGATGCAGACAGTGATTTGGGAGGAGTTTACTTCTTGCCAGAAAAAGCAACCAGGAATCAGTCTGTGTAAGGATAAAGGAGAAGAGATAAAAATAGGCAACGTTTCTGTCCTCCGCGACTTAAGTTAAATTGAAGCCTGAGAGTAGTGACTGAGGGCGTTAAGGCAGTGATTTTAGAGGTGTTCACATTTCAAAGCAAAATTGGAGGAAAGGGAGAATGAGAGAAGCTACTGATGCCAGCTGCTGGTAACAGGAGGACATAAGGAAGATGGACATTTCCTTAGAAAGCACTACAAATGAGGCTGTACTGAGCAAAGGCAATGTTAAGAACGGGGTCCATCTCCCTCTTTCTCTCCCAATCCCTGTCCTGACCGATACTTGCAACGTCCGCCGTTTCCTTGAATAAATAAGGTAAATGTGGTTATGTAGTCTGCTTCCCTGGCATCCAAGGCCATTTTGCACCCTGACCCTGCTAATCCCACATCCAAGACCCACTGTGGAATGTGAAATTCTTGCCAGCAACGGCAGCACAATGGGAGTTTCTGTGTTTTTTTGTTTGTTTGGCTTGTAAAGTTAGTCAGCTCTCAGCCAGCGTCCCATGACTAGAAAAAGTGTCGCCAAATCTCTTCAGAATGGCAGAATATGTCAGAGGATAATGTCGCGGACACCTTTGATATAATTTTGTCTTCATTTTAAAGAACGTTAAAATACGTCAACTCCGTGACCCTTTATTAGCCAACTCTAGTAGTGCATGGTCATGAGCTACATAAGGGACCAGAGGAAGCAAAATGACCAGTACTATACAGAATATCTGAAAAATTTATATTGAAAACTAAATTCTTCAATTGGCATTTTTCCGATTCCAGATGCATTCCAATGCCATGGAAATATAAAGAAGATTCAACCGTGATTCTAAGACAATCATATCAATCACATTCCTTTCTGGAGATTTTAAAAGTCAGAGGACCTTTAATGACCTATATGATAAGAAACAGAAACTCATCCATTTAATCACCATAGTAAGTAACATTTGA